TATCTGGATGACATTATTGTGTTTGGCGGCAACTTTGATGAGGCACTCAGTCGCCTGAAGCAAGTGTTTGATAGACTTAGGAAGCCGGGTTAAATATGAAACCTAAGAAATGTCATTGGCTCAAAAAGGAAGTGGAATACTTAGGTCACATTGTAAATGCACAAGGCGTTCACACAGACCCCTAAGAAGGTGCAGAAGCAATCAAAACTGTCCAAGTCCGAAGAATGTATCGAACTTAGAAGTTTTCTGGAGTTTGTGTAGCTACTACCGCCGCTTCATCTCTAGTTTCGGCTAAGGTTGCAGCTTGTCTGCATAAGTTGACCGAGAAAGACAGAGCATATAATTGGACTCAGGAATGTTCAATCGCTTTTGAACATCTTAAAAGTAACTCATCAGTGCCGACATTTTGGCCCATCCTGATTTCACCAAACCATTCATCCTCGACACAGATGCGAGCGATTTTGCAATAGGTGCGGTTCTGAGTCAGGTTAAGGGTGGAGTTGAAAGGCCAATTGCTTATGCCAGTAGAACACTGACAAAACAAGAAAGAAATTATTGCGTCACCAGGAAGGAGTTATTGGCTATAGTATACTTTGTAAAACATTTCAAACCCTATCTGTATGGAAAATCCTTTCTGATAAGGACAGATCATGGGGCACTTGGCTGGTTGACTCGGTTTAAAGAACCATGCGGACAAATGGCTAGAGACTCTATCTCCTTTCCAATATGAAATAGAGCATAGACCAGGACGCAAACATGCTAATGCAGATGGCCTTTCTCGCCTTCCTTGCAGACAGTGTGGTATGACGTCTGAGGACTCACCTGTAACTAGGGAAGTTTGACAATAACAGTTGGTCGATACAAGTCAACAGGACTTAATCGACAATCAGAAACAGGACTTAGGAAAAGTACTGACTTTTCTAGAAAAGGGTCATAAAGCTAAGTGGTCAGAAATTTCAATGTGCAGTGAGGCTATTAAGCTGTATTGCGCATTTTGGGATCAGTTAACCATTAACAATGGTGTACTTTGCAGAAAATTTGAGACAAAGCAGAAGGAAATAAAGCTTCAAGCTCTAATTCCTAAAAATAAACAAAAGTTAATCCTTGAGCAAGCTCATGATAGTTTGACTGGAGGTCATTTAGGGGTCAAGAAAACAGTAGAGAACATAAGGCAGAAATATTACTGGTGTGGACTCCGTAAGGATGTAGAATTATGGATTCGGTCTTGTGATGCCTGTTGTAAAGCCTCCTCCAAGGAAACGTCAAGGTCCGATGCAGTTGTCCGGGCTGGAGTCCCTCTAGAGCGGGTAGATATGGATATTGTAGGCCCACTTCCAGGAAACTAAAAATGGGAACATCTATATCTTAGTTGTATCAGATTACTTCACAAAATGGGTAGAAGCATACGCAATGCCAAACCAGGAGGCAATAACAGTGGCTGAAACCCTGATAGAAAATTTCATCACAAGATTTGCATACCCAGACAAATCCATACTGACCAGGGGAGACAATTCGAGTCAAAATTGTTCCAAGGCATGTGTCAACTCCTTAACATTGACAAAACCAGGACCACACCGTTTCATCCAAGGTCCGGCAGAATGGTAGAACGGTTCAATAGTACGTTGGAGGCTATGTTGAGTGCTTTTGTAAGCGAAAATCAGAGAGATTGGGACTTCTATTTACCTTATCTAACTATGGCTTACCGCTCCACAATTCATGAAAGTACAGATTTCACCCCAAATCTACTGATGCTAGGGAGAGAAATCAATCTTCCAGTTGATATGTTTGTAGGACTTCCAATTCAGGATATCAGTTCACCGCATCAATGGGTAAATGATGTAAAGGAACATCTAGAGGATGTATTTATCCTGGCTAGGAAGCACCTGGAACAAAATCAATTAAGACAGAAGAAGTATTACGACAAACATATAAAGTAGGAAGTCAAGTTTGGGTTTACTTCCCCCATAGGAAAGTAGACATATGCCCAAAACTGCAATGTTTTTGGAAAGGACCCTTTCAAATAACCGGGAAACTCAGTGAAGTCAATTATCGTGTCAATTGTGGATTGAGAGGTAAACCTCAAATAATACATGTTGACCGTATGAAGCCAGCTATTTCCCGTGAGGGAACACATAAGGTTAATACTGTACCAGCACAAAATTGCCCTGTGGAAATCAACAGCGAAGTTTTTGCAGAGGACCTACCTTTAATAGAGGACCACTCTCTGGCAGAGGAGGTTTGTGGTTATGGTTCTAAGCGTATTCGTAAGCGCCCAAAGATATCTTGAAGACTATATCCTATAACTAGTTACCAAGTACCAACTGAACTGATTGCTCAGGAACCACATGTGTTAAAATGCACCAGGACTGTTTTAAACTATATTGCGTTCTGTTCATTTTCAGATGATCGCCCTTGGAAGGACAATTAAGTGCACTAAATGCGAGAAGGTGTTTGCAACCATAAGCAGACTTGTGAATCACGTATCCGTAAGCCACGGGAATGATGTTACTTGCAATGAATGCAACTTCTCTCGCCAACCGGTTTCAGACCTGAACCCCACAAGAGGGAGAAACATAATAACCTAACTGTCAGGAGGCCCCGGCTCCACCAGGAAGTTCTCATCTAGGGAGTTTGTTTCCTCCTCGGAGAGTGAGGACGAGGAAAAGCATACCCGGAGCTCCTCCTCCTCGTCCTCGTCCTCCACATCATCATCAACATCATCTTCCTCAGGGAATTTTAAGAGGCAGAGGAGAGAAAGTGAAAAGGAGGAAGAGAATGAGACAAAGAAAAGAAAAGTGGAAGGAGAGGAGAAGAAAAAGGAGGAACAGATGGAAGAGAAGAGAAAAGTGGAAGGGGAAAGAAGAAAAAGGAGGAACAGATGGAAGAGAAAAGAAAAGTGTAAGGGGAGGAGAAGAAAAAGGAGGAACAGATGGAAGAGAAAAGAGTGGAAAAAGAGGAAGAGCAGAAGGAAAGGAAGAAAAAGGAGAAAGAAGAGAAGGAACGAATGGAAAAGGAGAAAAAGGAGAAAGAAGAGAAGGAACGAAGGGAAAAGGAGAAGGGGAAAGAGGAAAGAAAGAGGAAAGAGGACAAAATAAGAAGGGAGAAAGAGGACAGGGAGAGGGAAGAAAGGCGGAGAAAAGACCCTAATAATCTGTTTAACTGGCCACCAGGGGTCAGAAGACATCGGCAGGAAGAACGGAAAGAAGAGATCCCTGGTGGCCATGGCGTCCGCCACATCAGTCTATCAATAGTGGAGTGGTGGACGCCAGCAGAAGAATAAATTCTTCTGCTGAACTTTATATTATAAATATGTTATATAAAGATACAAGTATAGATAAATATAAATTGTAAAAGACAGGACAGACCTATTGTACATATATATATACACATGTAAATAATTATAATTGTATTTAATGTTGGATCAAATTGTACATATGACATAAGAATATCATGCATTTATGTATGTATTTATTTATGAATTAAATGATCTAGACAGATCGTCCTGTAAGTAGGTGACCATGTGAATTTATATACTATGCGAGGGCGCATTTGTTTTTCTTAGGGGGGGGGGAAGTTGAAGCGCAATAGGGTAGCATTATATTATTCTAAAACGTACTGGTCATTACGTCATTCTGCACGTAACTGTCGAATCGAATGTCCATCATACTTCCGGTAGAGTCCTAGGTTAGATTATGACTTTAGGAAGCGATTGTACATCCTTAAACTATTTCCTCAAGCATATAGAGATAACTTTTATTACCTTTACTGTCAGAATACGATATGTGCGTAAGCCCTATAGTTGTTGTTAGAATCGTCAAACAGCGTAGGGATGACAGGTTGTTTTATGTAAGCCGTCATCTTGTTTACGAATCTCTCGCATGGTCACCGCAGCGGGTGCATTTCGATTGTGACGTCATTGTAATTAAGTATAAAAGGGAGACGCTACCGTAAACCGCCTGCATTTTCCAGGAAGCATAAGCAGCTTTTCAACCTAAATACGCAGGACACCATAACAAGTAAAGAGGTGAGGATGGCAGAACAGTCACCAGGACTTAATACTTTATATAAGTAAATTGTAAATGTCAAATCCAGGACTTATAAGAATTAGTTTGGGGAATTTCTGATTAGATTCAGTCAGTTGGTACTATATGTAGGTAGTCACGATCGGGATGCACCGACTTTGAGTATTTTTCCAAGTGCTTTTTTAAGTGTATATATATGTAAATATGTTATAGTATTAATAAATTATTATTGTTGTTGAAATACATCTTGTACGTTTTTATACAAAGTTTCTAGTTGTTGTTCCAAAAGTTTTGGAGTAATGGAAAGTATAAGTTTCGCGGGTTCAGAAACCAATGCTAAGTCTAGCCATTAGCAAACGTCAGCTAGCTAATTAATATACAAGGGATATCGGGTCAGAGGTTAAAGGGCGGTCCTCCCCAGGAACTGACCAATCAGGAGCAAGTACTTTATAATGACAATATGGCTGACGTTTGCTATTAGCTGGACGCGAAGCATAGAAGTCTTAATTTCAAGCGAATTACACCGAACACAATAGTTTACATATCACAAGTTAATTATCTTAAAACGTATTCCCTACATTTATCACTATTCAGTAATATATATATTCTTGGAGGAACAAGCGAACTCGTTAGTGTAATGCAAATTAGGGGGCGGAATTTAGACATGTTTTGTAAACAAACTCGCGCTACCAGGTTATCCATGGGACTATGTAGATTCTACACTTGTACTTTCGCATGCACAAGGGCACATATTTTAGTGACTGAGCATCGAATAGCATACCCTCCCCTGTTTGGCGTTACAGTATTTAATCGGGAATAATAGGTGCTACGCATATTTAGTGACCTGCGAAATTTGTACCCTTAATCATATTACCATTGGTGGCTCATCAGCACGGCGAAACGCTTTCAAAGTCAACCTACCGCTCAAAACATCGGTAACATAACATGTTTTGCCAACAGACTTTTGGCCACTGACTAGATGCTCATGATGTTGATCACTGGAGTGTCTGATCCAGACTCGATTATATACATACCCCGCAATATAGATGGAATAATGCTGAGGGTGGCTTTAAGCACTAATTGCCTTTTACGGGCAACATCCATCCAAATGCTAAGTGATGAAGGGTTGAGCTACCGTACCGGAATGAGGCCTCTGTCAGGAGTTACAGCAGAGATTGTTCCTGCAATCAGAAACCTTACTAAACGACACGGTATTCCACACCAAAATACTAACACCGTCTTGGAATCTTGGCAAATTCAAATTTCCTATACTCTCCCTTTTCTTTCAACATCAATCAAACGCAAGTAACCTTTGTCTCCCAGTCACTCGTTCAATATGAATACGATACCTAAGGTGAGTGAGTGAGTTTACTTTTACGCCGCACTCGGCAATATTCCAGCTATATGGCGGCGGTCTGTAAATAATCGAGCCTGGACCAGACAATCCAGTGATCAACAGCATGATCATTGATTGGGGACCGATTTCATGTGTCAACCAAGTCAGGGAGCCTAACTGACCACCCGATCCCGTTGTCGCCTCTTACGACAAGCGTGGGTTACTGAAGATCAATAGACTAATCCAGACCTTCACGGGTTTATGAAGTTTATGTGACGTAACATATATTAGTTCCACCCGTTGCGTCAAATACAGTGATATAATAGGTGAAGAGATGAAGTTGTTAGATGCACTAATTCTGTGTTGTGTCTAGTGGTTAATCATTCAAATAATTGCTTAATAGTATTACATGCTTAGTGTTTGTCATTTGTAAACATCCCGTGAAGTGACACCGCTGTGAATTGGCGGAAGCGGAGATATTCATGTACATGTGAAAATTTACTCGCTTCAATAATTCTTACTAAAAATTAAAAAAAATAAGTTTATCACACGTTACTTGGTAGTCATAAGGATTGTTTTACGTTTTGTGCATTTATCGAAGGATCACCGTCAAAAAATTGTATACAATCGCGTAAATTCTGTGACTGTGATCCTCTTTAAAGGAGATGCGACAAGTTAAGGTATCTTTGCAAAAATACCTGATACGGTGACGCCACTGCCAGTTTGTGATGAGATCCACTTGCCTACGGACTGGATTAATGAAGGGTGATTTTTTAACTACGAACCTGGTGATTCTAAAGATACTGATCGTTCCCAAGACCCTGAAGAACCATATGAACATTCGCAGATTGTCAAATTCGTTCATGACAATTAAAATCGAAACACTATAAATCAATTTACAACATAAGACTTTTTTCAATCCACAGAAAGGCTTCGTAAACATGCCAAGGGGATAATCCTTTGGATATCCGTAACTTGCACCCAAAAAGAATAGGCAACAAAATGGAGAGCATTGTTCAGTATCCATCAACAAGCTGAACCTGCGTCCTGCAGGATGCTCCACTTCAGATTCACGTTTCTATATTGCCATCAGCACTAAGGAAATTCCCCTGGTTCAAACGACAACCTGTTGGTATCAATAAACTCAGCTCTATTATGAGTCGAATGTCAAAAAGTACTGGTTTCGAAAAAGATTCACAAACCATTCAGCAAGAAAATTCGATGTCCCAAAACTATCTGATGAAAATATTCATCCAACGTATATTATGGAGATATCCGGTCATCGTAACATGCAAGAGTGTAAACAGTTCATCCTCAAAACACCGTAAAATCAGTAACATTGTTCAGGGGCAACGAAGAAGAGTCGGGTGAAATTTTTTAAGATGTGCGAATTACGCTTTGTTTTGTCCTATTTACATTAAAAAAAAAAAATTCATAATAAATGATATTTTCGCCATACTCTACAAAGGAAATAGTACTTATAAGACATTTGTCTAAATTAATTTTTTATTAAAAGGTAGCTAAAAGAAAAATATCGGTTGGAAAGCATGTGTTTTAGCTCAATTCTGCTTGTCCCACACTGCTTGTCACTTGAAAAAGACGCTGATCATTTGTTTTACCAGAGTGATCTCCCATTTTATCCGTGTCCTCAACTCCATTACATTGTAAAGGAGTTGAGTTAATTTGAAAACATGACCACCCAGATTGAAATTTATTTCGGCATTATACATATTTCCTACTAGATATTGTTTAATAATTTCTTTTGATTGCAGCATTCAGAGAGTGACATTGAAGAATTTTCGTGGACGTGTTACGAGTGTCAAAAGTCAGCATTTAACAGCGATCTGTTGGAGGAGCAGCTTATTTGTACCGACAAAACAGTTCTTACTGACAGTGATGGTTCCTTATGGCTTTTTTTGTTCGGCATGTAGACGACAATATCATCTGGAATGTGCAGGCAATATTTCGGGAAAATATTGATGTGAACGATTTGGAGTTCGACCGATATTTGTGTGGCATTTGTGGATGGTCCATTTGCTTCTGAGACATGGCACTAACAGCAAAGGAGAGAATGAGGAGATATAGATAGAAACGGAGGGAAAATCCAGAGACACTTGCTCAATATAAAGACAAAGAAAGGAAACGATGGCATGAACTGAAAGAAGCAAAGAAAGTAAAGATGATAGATGAAATGACCAACTATGAAAAGAAGAATCCGAGAAAACAATGGAGAAAGGCCTATCATCGTCATCATTTCTTTCAATGAATTCACCACCAGCATCCCCAGCCTGTAATGAAAACTTACTCAGGGGCAGATGAAAGAAGAACAGTTAGCCGGAAAAGGGTTAGGAGAGACAGAGCAAAGGCATACAGACAGCTGTCAAAGTACTATTTCGCCTTTCAAAACCAAAGAAACTGACAGAGATACAGAAAGCGTCTTCAAAACAATTTTGAATAAAAGGATCTCGGAGCAAATGAAATGAATGGCACTGATGTCAGCCCAAGAAAAAAGACAGTACAGAGTATTGTAGGAAAATCAAAGCTTTCTGATAGAGTGAAGAAAAATTTTACTTTTGCATTATGGAATTGTAGCAGAACTAAAAAAGAAACTCCCTGAACCCCCCTTTCAAAATTCCTGGTACCGCCCATGATTTTTACTGTCCTTCGATGACAAGTTTTGGACGTTCTAGATTTTTATTTTAAAATTGACATAAATGAAATTGTTCTCGTCACGATATGGCTGAAATATTGCCGATGTGACGCTAAATTTTAACTCGCTCCCTCACTTTCCTTGTGTCAACACTTCATGGTGCAAGCAGATATACACAGGCCAAGGTCGGAGAGAGAACCTTTGACGTCAGAATCGCGATATATGACGTCACGCCACCAAGGTAACATCGGCAGCTGATCTTCTGGCTCCGGGATCATGAAATTCTAAAGTCTAAAATTTGCTTAGCACAAAATAATCTTAGGTCTAAAATCATTTGCTAAGCTAAGATTTTAGATAAGACTGGATCATGAAACTCTCAGCAAATTCTTAGCTAAGACTAAGACAGCTACTATGACAATTTTAGAATGATGTAATCATGTCCGGTCACTCTTAATTAATTGAGGAGAATAGTTTAATAGCAGGCACCTGCTGAAAATGTTCCAAACAAGTCAACTGAGGCTTTTATCCCTGCCGCGGTGAATTTTAGTGTCTTTACGGTTGGGATGTTTTCGGAAATACACCAACATGAACACCTGAGTGCGCTTTCTGCCATATTGCATTGGATAGTGTTTACAAAATCACGTTTCGCGAAGGCCGGAATATTGAGTCGCCTGTTACATCACGTATATTTCATATTCAACTGCGACATATGCATCACTGGATTCCTCATACATTTTAGTATCAAATAAGAAAGGGTCTTTGTCACTAAAACCAAGTGCCTATGTGATATGAAACGAAAGATATTGGGCATGAAAACGAACGCTGTGCTCGAAAGACAGCACTTGTTGAAATGTAAACAAAGAGAAATTGAAACTTTACACTGTGCAGCATTTTCTCAAATTTCAGACACCCAATCGTCTATTCGTAGCATGCATAGGCTCAACTTTTAGAACATACATGGGAATAGTATCGTAGCAAGAAATAGCAAATTAAAAATAGATACAATACAGTAATGTGATCTATGTTTATACGTCAAAGTTTCTGTGCAGCGTGACGCCATGACTGACAAAATCTCGCAGAACAACAACGGTAATATCTGGCTTCTTCTCTTACTTACAATAAAAACGATAAATCATATAACAATACACAGATAGTCAGATTCATTCTGATAACTTACATCACACATTTATGTACAAACGATCCCCGAATCGAGGGAAAGGTCCTCGCAAAATCCTGTGTACCCATGTAAGCGAAGCAGCCATTTTGTAAGAAATCGGTCAACGGTAGTGATGTGATATACGTTAAAGGACTTTTAAAAAGGTCACTTCACATTGTTTAGTTTCGCTCTTAATGAACCCCTGGGTATATATAATATCCACAAAATACAGTTAAAAAACGGTAATATTTCATTATACAGCTTGTATTAGGAATCTAAAACGCACCTCCTCGAAAGCATTTCGCGATTACGCAAGATAATGAGGTAGATGGTCACGTGACGTCATACCCGAGAGTCGCTACATCAACACACGGAAAATACAGTAGTACCCAGACTGTTCGCTTACTGATGTCTCCTTCTAAATCAAATAGCAAATAAATCAATCCACGAAGTCAAACATGGATTTGAATGGCATACTAGATACAGATAATATCACATACATGCAACCTTTCCAATTTGAAAGTATTTCTAGCGGCAAGACCGAGAGGAATATACAGCCGTGGGACGATCCCGATCCCGACTATGTTTTGAATAGACCTACTGCAGACTGGTATGCAAGTTACTTGCCTATCACATGTTCATGGAAAACTGATTAGATACTGAATGAATTTTTCCGCGGTCACGGTAAAATTTGCAGTCATGATAACGGCAAGGTTCGATCAATATGTTGAGCCTGTCTTCCGGTATACATCGGTATGGGACGGTAAACACTGAAATAGTTACGTTCGAGGTTCATGATTTTATGAATATTATTAAGTAACTTTCAACTTTATTTCATAAAATGCGTCTTCTGCTAAATTTATCCGTAAAGGTTTAAGTATGGTGATAGTTCGATCTCACTACTGTATAGAGAAGTACCCTAAATTCGTTAGTGTATGTTTTCGAAGAAGTCGGTGTATCGATCGTCTGGTATATCAAACATCAGTTTCATTACATTTTCAATTTCCATACATGTGTTAAGCATCGGTATTATGTCGTGAAACGTAGTCATATAAATCTGCAAAATATACGTAAAATGATAAAGACATGTAACCTCCTTAACAGCTGATAATACATATAATAAATAAATATAGATGCAAAAAATAGAACTGACAAATCCTTATCTATCTCTTTAACTGTCAGCTAGTGAAAAAGAAAAATCTTCATTGTGTTCTAGTAGTAATGTGTAAAGTGCGATCAGTCCTAAAGAAAGACGATCGATCAAATCAAGAAACCAGCACACAAAAATTAAAGCAAATAATTTATTTGCATACAAACTATTTATGACAAAATAATGCATACAGTGTGTACACCAACATCATGAAGGCAAAGACTTGCGTGTAAATTAACTGGATGGACTTGTAAAAGCCTAAGAAAACAAGATTGATCTCCAATAACACCATGTGACACAGTGGTGACTGCAATTTGGAAACATTTGCCATCTGAACAAGTCCCAGGATTCAAACAGACGAATACAATTAGGAGATAAACCTACTGTGTGGGAAAATCAGAGGTATATAACGAAATTATAATAGCTCTAAATTTCATTTAAAACCGAACGCGTAGCGTGAGGTTTTAAATGAACAATTTAGAGCTATTATAATTTCGTTATATACCTCTGATTTTCCCAATACAGTAGGTTTATCTCCATTCTACCATGACAATTTTATGAACAATTTCAGGTGGAGCTCTTTCTTTGGTTACAAGTCAATACGTGAAGCGGCCTCGCATTCCAATCTCAAGTGGTATCGCCCGAAACGGGGTGTTTGGTGGCAAACCGTCAATGACTAACAAACTCCAGATTCAGTAATAACAAATCACGTTTTGTTTTTCAATGCATCAATCACCAATCATTAACTGATAAGTTGGAAAACATATATCAAATAAGTTTAAAAGCTTGGTTCACATTTGAAAATTCCACCGTAGACCCTTTCCCCACCAGAATAGTGGCAGCAACCTCATGGCCTTGACCTTTATCGAAGTCATTGTTTACATTTGGAAAGATGCGACAGGAGAGCCACTGACAGTTTGCGCAAGGTTAACCTGATTGTATGACTGAGATAGTCTTTGATATCTAATTACTGGTACTGGGTACAAAATTTAAGAGTAGGGGCGCTTTGCTGTAACGAGAAGTCCGTGTTGTACCGAATTAGATACTGTTGAATTTTGCGCCCTGTCAACTTGACGATTTCACGCACCTCCCACGTCTGCGTGCGACAGCTGTGGTGACTCTTACACACTCATGTGTGTACTTTGTGCTCAAATTCGATTCTACGGATATTATTTTCTACATTTTGGAAAGTGTTTTGTGACCTAGTGGCTTCAAAGTGTAGTGAATTCAAATTGAATCGGATTCGCTGGCATGTTCGCGAGTCTGTTGACAAAGAGCCAGATTTGTGGTGATATTTCCGAAAGGATGGATCAGGACATGAGGGTGTACCTCTGGCATAAACACGGTAAGGTAATTAATTATACTTTTAATACACTACTTTAGATCAAGCAATGTAATGGATAAGAGGGTCATGACTAAGCTAAATAACTTTTCAACGATATTATATACTTTTCGAAAAAAAAAATATGTTGGGCTAAACAGAACGGTTTGCAGATTCTGTTATTGTGTTTTACTACCTCTAAATTTGAAACAGTACAAATTTCAAAATATCATTTTGTTTGAATTGATAACCCAACTGTTTATTTATGTGGACGGAAGGCATTAAAATTTCTTCGGCGTTCGATGTTAATGCATCCTCCGTTACCGGATCAAGATCAGTGGCGATATCGTTGACGAAAGCTAATAATAAATTTAACACGGAAATTATGTAGCAGTCTATTGCTGGATCTATTCTGACATAACATAGAATCAACGTAAACATATTTGTTTTTGCTGAATTTTTATTCGGAAAGCAGACGATGTTTTGATCTTGTTCGACTGAATATTTGTTTCCATGCTTTCGAAGTACTTTTGTATGTATAAACACCTATTGCTGGGATTTACGCAAGTAGTGAGTCGAGCCCGTCATCGCTAAATCCATCTTTAAAGACAAATGTGTAATTTCCGACAGTAAAATCGCCGTAATTTATCGATGCATCGGTAGGTTGTTTGGTGTCCGCCATGTTAGTGGGCAGACAAAAATAGTGCATTACCGTAAACCATGTATGATTGCGCACGGAAAACAGAGACCTGTATAACGTGATTATATACCTCTGAATGACTTTAATTAACCAATCACAATCCAGTGTTTACTGAAGTCATGGTAGAATAGACCTTAAGACATCAGGCACAGCTGGTTTCAGTTCACACCCTAGACACGTGTACATGATTTCATTATATCTTGATGTCTGTGAATTCACCAGTTCCTGTTTACTAGTTATAAATGAAAGTGTCTGGCAGAATATCCTGGAAAAATAGGCTGTTTGTCCTGCAAGGCTGTAGGAAGGAAACATGTTACTTCTCTCGAGAATGGCCTACTGGGTAGGAATTCAACAAACTCTGTGAATAAATTTTACATTGAATAAGAGACATTTTGTAACATAATTTCAGTATATTTTGTTTTGGCAACATAATAAAATTTTCTTTGAAATCTGCACTAAAACAGTAAGTACTTTTGTCTTAACAAATGCTGAGAGGGAAAATAGATATGAGGATTAAAAACCAGTGTCTTTGCAAACAAGACTTAGTATTGACTAATTGGTTTGGGAAAAACATGCAGTAATAGGAACAGTGTTTTCTTTTGTTTTTCAAACTGGAGGGCACCAGTTCAACAAAGATTATTGATTGTCTGAATTATATTTACCATGTACTTTCTTGTTCACTGGCTTGGCCTCTTGGTTTAGGCCTAGGCCTCCTGTCACTTTCAACTCGATGGCGTATACACTACTGAATTGTAACCACACTGAGCGGACTCTCGGGTATGACGTCACATCCACAGGCGGCAGACCGCTAAAAATATGCATACGAGCGGGCGTGGCTAAAGTGGTTTTAGTTTTGGTGCATATTTGTAATTTTTACGACTATTTTTCGTAAATGGATGGTGCAGATGTGGTATATATTCATGTTTGAATGGCATTATGTAATGAAAATGCATAGTGTTTAACCTTTTTAAAAATCCTTTAACATTGTTGTACATATTTGGCAATTTCTTTGAGGTGAAGGTCGGTTGAATAAGAGCCATGTCCCTCTGATTATACTTTCAGTATTATAATGCATATTTTGTGTATCGCTCAGATATTTTTTCATGAAACTAATTTCATTGCCTACATTTAGCCTTGATCTATATCATATCCGTGGATATAGGGTATAAGTTGCTTTTATTCTTTGAAGGTTTTTGTTTGTTTGAATAATATTTACATAAGAAATTGACATACTGAGTGTAGTACTCAATAGTTTAAACCCTTAAACAAGTATTAGAAGAACAAACGGAGGTCCACCTGCAACATGTACTTTAGTTCCTATCATGTGCAATATTCGCCATTCGGACCAATATTACAGTTGCATATGAACAGGTTCATGAACAACGATTTAATTTAACCTTCTAAGTAAAACTGACAATATTTATGAACATTATTTAGATATTTTATGAAATGTATATGCACACGTTTTTAAAGGAATTGTCTTGTTCATTGAATTTGGTTATTTCGTTAGTAGTCTACCATGTCACCCTAGGGTCTTTTCAAGATGGGGGACCACATGGGTACATTGTGTGAAGCTCATTTCTGGTGTCCCCCGCCGTGATATTGCTGGAATATTGCTAAAAGCGGTGTAAAACCAAACTCACTCACTCACTCACTCAAGATGGGGGCACCTCCAGTTCCATGTCTCAAGATGGCGGCACTTCCGGTCGCATGCCCCAAGATGGCGGCACTTCCTGTCCCGTGCCCTAAGATGGCGTCACATCCGGTTCCGGTGGGATCTCGTTGAATACGCATTTCAAAATGGCGGCGGGTGGACGGGAGAGATATCATCGTGCAGTTGTTGTGCTCCCTTCCCGGTGCCTTCACCGCAATATATGCATCAAACCAATTGGAACGATAGGCTTTCAAACAGGTATGACATATTATGTAACGCCATTTTAATGCACATTGCTCTATCTTCCGCAGTTTTTCTGGTAGGGTTTTGGCCTCACTACTTCCACCCCTCTTGCGTCCATGATGATACATCGGGATACTGTCACTTCAAGATTCTTGAGTTTACATAGGCAACAAAGGGGATCGAAGACGTCACCTCAGTGACGTGACGCTTCACGGTTCATTGGTTCAATTCATGTGCGTCTCATTGGTCAAAAAGCCTCACGTCTCATTGGTCAAATCGGTCTCAATCTACCCGCCTCATTGGTCCAATTCCCGTGCGTCTCATTGGTGAAATCGGGTCTCAATCCACACACCGCTTTGGTCCAATTCCCGTTCGTCTCATAGGGCCCGTAAGTCTCGCGAGGCGCTACTTCCGCTACCAGATTTCCGGTGACAAGCGAATACGCAAGAACCAGTTGTAGTGCCAAATTGCGCGACCGCCTAATATGACCTTACTAGACCGGACCAAGTGTACTACCATGCTTGGCTGTCACAGCTGGTGACAGTCGTAATAATTGGATCATTTGGGGACGATAAGATCGAAAAATTATTATTCCTTCAAGGATTATCGGTTCCTTACTGACAACCGACAACCATGAGTCAATTCGAAAACATATGAGTACCTTTCTTTAGCTATAATATATTTTTGACAACCAGTGCAGTTCTATCGGCGATAGTATCGCTAAACGTGTTTGTCACAAAACATATTTTTTGGAATCAATGACATGGTTAACGTAAAATGCATTTGAGTAATATGTATTTATATTGAATTAATATAACTATTCATTAATATACTGCAATTCATAAAACAGCCATGTGTTACCAACTTTTCAAGTTAATGTTCTATTCATATTTGGCCACATTGACTGTCATTTCCTTTTCAATAAAAAGTATGTAATTCCAAATTATAATATTTTTGTTTGTTTAATTTGTTATTTATTTTCTAAATACATTTGTTCTGCTTCAGCAATATTTTGTAACTATTCCAAATTAAAACTATTTTGTACATATTCAATATATTTATATTTGTTAAGAACTATTTGAGATCAAATAGTTTCTAACAAATATCAATATTGATATGTACAAAATAGTTTTAAATTTGGAATAGTTACAAAAATATTCAACAGAGACAATTGGCTTTATGCAATGTAAAATGCATGTGTATAAATACTTGAGGTACTAATATAAATACTTTGTAAACTAGTTGGTAGGCTTAATAATTTTACTCTTTCCAAGTCCAAGGGATGACTTTATGCCAGTTCAGGTGACAGAATGACTCAAAGATACATGAAATAAATTGTTTGTTGTTTTGCAAATGTGAAAGAAAATGCATTATAAATTTTACTTTGGATAGATGACAGGGATCTGCATGTGTCAAATTGTTTCTTTGCCATGCTGTAAATATACTGATAATGATATATTGAATACAGGGATTGGGATGGAGACCTTCGACATTTTCACGATTATTAGCCATTTTCTGAATTTAGAATGGGCCACTGCCCTTGTATCAATAGTAAACTTCAAAATTTTAATGGGGCATTTTTATTCTAATGTGCAAAATGGCCACTGTCTTTCCCAATGCCTGGAATAAATAGCAGTTCTTGTAACATTATAATTTTTTTTATAAATATATGAACTTTCCCATTTATGGTGACGTTTTTATTCACACAAGAAGTCATAGTGTCACAAATCAATCAACAGCTCGACAAAATAACCTTGATGGCATGGTTACAATTATTTCGGTTACTACTGTCAGATATTCAAATCAAAAATGTGAAAACCCTCAGCCATATGAATATTCATCATGAAGCAATTATTTATCAAATTATGTAAACATTATTTTATATTTTAGAGGTGATTTATAAAAAACTGGTTGTTGCACAATATTTATTACACTTTGTACTGGATGTCTTGGAGTGAGTATACAATGTACTATGATCTAAAGTACATGAGTGTTACTTAGTTCTTGGTTATGCAGGGGTGAGGTTCTGCTATGCTGTAAGCAAAATATGAAGCAGCACACAGCACCTTCAAGTCACAATTGGCAAAAATGCAAGACAAAATACACTCAAAATTTGGAGTAATCACTCAAAGACATTTCCTGTATTGTAAAATATACTGATCAATACATGGGGAAACTAAATGTGCATATATACTATGTCATGACTGTAGATTCTGCAGACACTGGCTGATAGCAGCATGAGTATGATTACTTGTCATGTAATATAGTGTTTTTCACCCATATTTAGTAACTTACATATTCCAAATATTCTGCCAATGAGGCCAAGGTTGGTAACTGGCATTCCATATTTCCACTATACAGTTAGACCAATATGTTTTAAAATAATGGAAAAGAATAATGTGTACTGGTTATTGTGCTATGAACCAGTGTTGTAATCTTACAGCAAATAAAAACAAAAATTTCATATTTCAACAAAATTCCATGTCATGTAGAATCATATGCCTATGCCATTGATTAAGTTTAACTTTCATTGGAAAGCATGTTTTTCATGGAAACTGGAGTAGTAGGGTAACCTAGTGGTTAAACTGTTGACACTCGTCACACTGAAGGCCGGGGTTTGATTCCCCACATGTGTGCAAAGTGTGAAGCCCATTGCTGCTCTCCCCAGCATTATGTTGCTGGAATATTGCTAAAAGCAGTGTAAAACCCAATTCTCTCACTTGGAACCTTTGCTATCTACACTGAAAATCTAATCTCCTACATCCATCGTTGTATATTTACTGTCAAATCAATATCATGGCTAAAAGCAGAAATCTTCCAAACCATTCAATTTGTGCTTGCTTTATCCACACTAAAAACAATAAACAAGTTTTAGAACTATTCTGCAAGTTTATTCCAAAGACATAATTACTCATAACATCTCAAACATTCTTTGCATTTTCCAGATGCTAAACCTGAAAAATACTGTACCAGTATCATCTGGAATACAAATGTTCTTTTCATGGTCACTCATCTAAATTCTCACTGAATTATCTGAGAGTCCCAAGATGTCACAAGACTTTCCAAAACACCTTGCTGGTTACAAGCATTTCCTGTTCCAGCAAGTTTCCAAAGGATGATGTGTAGGGCTTTAATATGTTTTATAACTGTACATACAACATTTCAATGACTTGCTGTTTCTTCATTGCAATGTATATTGCTTGACCACCAGATGTTAAAAGAAATCTGAAGATCTGTTTCAGTTTGTGTTTGCTCTTGATGTCAATGGTACTTGTGGTGATAATGAAATCTATTCCTCCTTCTTTCTCCTCTTAAAGATGTGCATCTGTTCAAACTGAAAAATACATAACACACGTTAGACCAAGTATGATATACTTAATAAAATGTAAACACTAAAACAGTTCCTTACAATGTTGACATCAAGATATTATTGATAAATTAAGCATGTGGATGTTATGTTTAACTGAACATGCTGCACCATAACCAAATGCTAAATGGGGTTGTAATAATATATTAATCAAGCTCATATTACAGAATACATTTGTGAGAGACACCTATTCAGAGCTATTGGTATCAATCAAAGTGTGGGTATAATCATCATTGTTTACGCACTATTAAATTATTATTTAATTCATTACATTTATTTTTTTAGAATTACACCTGGATTTTCATTGCACATAAAGTTATCTTCTAGATAATTCCAACTGCAAGATACTTTTTATTTATTAACACAGTTTTTGGGTACACATGCATTATACCGGATACCTGCCTGTCATATTTTTTATTAGGTCCCCTCTCCGGGGGACAATAAAATCCCACTGTAAGATATCAAATGCAATCAAACGATTAACTAATCTGCACACATGTCAACTCCACCCTTATTGTGCGTGCCATGCTTAAACAATACCAGCCTTTAAATAAAAACAAAGAAATCCATGTAACAAACTTACCTCGACTAATGAATGGGCCAGCCTGAAGACGACGCTGTAACAACTCTGCATCTGTTTGGCAAATATTCACGTGCTGTTCATGCAACATTGCCTTAGTGCTTTAGCAGTCCATAGTCTGTTACATGGCATAGGTTTATGATTCACACAGCCAGTGTCGAGTATGATTATCCACGGCATACCCCATGTAACAGTGTTATCGCCATTGCCGAAAAACGTTGTTTGTCACCGGAAGTACTAAACAACGTAATCTCTCGCGAAGTGCCGTGACCTACTTACGGGCCCTATTGGTCAAATCGGTCTCAATCTACACGCCTCATTGGTCCAATTTCCGTGCGTCTCCCCCATGGTTCCTAGTATGGTGATCTACCTTCAGATGCTGGCGATCTATAGCCCGTGTTTCATATTGTATTGTCTTTTTTAATTACACTGTTTCAGTTTCACATGCTAGTTTTATCTTCATATATGTGATACTCTAGTATTTATATATATACTCATTTTTCTTACAATGTAAGTAGAACCCTCAAAATATGTTCAGAAATGTTATGCCAATATGAAGCCTTTGTTTGCCGAGCTAAATAGGCCAGGGTTACCGCCCTTTGGTTATGACGTACTTGGTGCCACTTGATTTTAAACTGGTCTCCTGTCTAATCCCAAATCAAAAGATAACAATACTGAATATTAATCACGTGAAAAAAGTTAGTGAAAATTCGAAGGAAGCATAAGAACAGAAAATGTAAGCAGCAGGACAGATTGATCTTTTGTATTTTCATTCATAACCTCACTTCAGTGAAAATACAAAATATGTATAACA